AGCAATTTTCTCCCTCTCATATGTATTTCATTATGCTCTTCAACTGATTTTGCTTCAACAAAAAAACATAACTTGAGAGAATCTTGCAGCTATCTTGAAAGGTATCATTCTGGCTGAGCTTCAGGGTATGGTACATCTGCCTTGACAAGCTGTAGATGCCAGTCAGCTGCACTTACAGTCGGTCTCAAACAATCAATGATGAGTAAGAATAGAAAGGGCCAAGAAATGGCTGAAGCATCACAGAGCCATTAAAGGACTGAAACAGAGGTGGTAAGCTTCAAATGGCATTACTCACCCGTGGCTTATCAGACTGCTGCACTTAGCACAAGTCAAAAGTAATATGGAAATACATTCCATATTTGCAGAAACAGAGCAATGGGCAGTTTAGTATGGATATTTACCTATGCAGGTAACAAGCACTTACTCCTTTTTGCGAAATAATTCTGATGACTCCACTACCAAGAAGGTGTAACAGAGAGGAATGTTACTGTCAACCTACTGCAGCAGGATTAGCCATAGCTTGTGTCTCAAAACCCTTAGGGTCTCACATTTCGGTAAGACACTAGAACAAATACAGATAGACACTTGAAACTTTCTACTTCTTCATCTCAAATTCACTAATCCTTGAAATCTCTTGGAGGTGGGAAAGTAGTATCCTTCACCTCAAAGTTGACTAAGCTGACAGCAAGAATGGCTAGCTCTTCCAGAGTTTGTGAACCAATTCAAAGCTTTCCTACGTAAAGGAACTACTGACAGCTCTAGATCATTAATACTTCAACATTAACACGTTCCTCTTCTGCAAGAAATTATTTACTGATGGAGAAGTATCAGTATAACTGTAATAAACAATTTTGTAAGCAAATTCCTTTAGGCAGACAATTCCTAGTAAAAAGGCTGAGAATAAAATCCAGCAGGTTGTGGCTTACACACCAAAAACCAGTAAAATCCTTCATATAGATGAGTCCTTTGAAACCATTAAAGTTCACATGCATCGGACATTTTATGAGCAACACCCACCCACCCAAAACCAAACAAACATAAGCCCTTCTCCCAAACCCCACTCTTAAGAGATAACCTTCCATTACTAATATTCTTCCAAAACAAGTAACACTTAGCGTCTTCCACCCCTCGTCCCCTGGAGGATTAAGTTCTGAGATTCCATCTAGATGCAAACCAATTTAGGTCTTTGTCATTAAAAAAATAAAAGTGTAACACATCATAAATAGCTAATACCATCAAATCATAAGTTAAACACAGAACCTACATTTTGAGAAACCGCATTCCTATCAGAGATAACTGCTCACAGTCACTTGTCCATAACAGCTCTCCACCCCTCCCTACCTTCTGAAAACACTGAATTCACCTTGAAGGAACCATCACAATCTCAAAGCCTTATACGAAGCATGGGTAGTCAATGTTGGGCTTTCTTGTGCTACAGAACGGCCTCAGAACTCTTAGGCAATCACTGTTTCCACATGAATTTGTTTTGTATAGGTGGCATATTAAAGCAAGAATGCATGCATCAGTAAGTTAGTGTTCCAGAAATATACTTTGTCTACAGATATGACAGTAAGCAGAAAGACTAAACTAATACTAATAATTTCCTCCTGCATACAAAACAGAAAGCCTTTATGCCAAAACTAGAATTGATCATCTAAGGACATGCTGCAACACTGAAATATACAGCAACTGGGATTTCAATTTTTTTAAGATTAAAGGCTTTAATCATGTCAAAGTTTTAAAGTAAGAACTTAAGCTCTACAAAAGGCTCTACAATACATGACCAACATGTTTCATTAGAACTGCAAATAAATGCTCAGCTGTCACACACTCTGCTTCCACACCTTCAAAACAATATACTCCTAGCTTGTATTTCATTGCACCTTCCATATAGTTTTTGATATCTACCTAGATGCAATTTACAAACGATAAAGAAAATAGCAATGAGCTTGTTTTGATAACCTTCCATATCTAAAACTGATGAAATGTGACACAAAATCCTGAAGTCTGGTATGAGTACAACATGCTTACATTGAAAAGGCTACATGTTGATATATGCCTAATTTTACAAGAAATGACATTAGCATATGTATTTCATCTGAAAAGTAAAACAGCAGTGAAGCAGGTGAATTAATGTTACTAATTGAACCTTATCTGCATTTCCTGTCTTTTAATACACGTCAGCATTGCAAATTCAATCTTTAGGTGATGCAGGAAGTCAAACTGAAGCACATGTTTTAACAGCGGTGAATTTTTTTTATGAACTTGTCAGTTGGCTATAGGAATCTTTGAAAACGTTTCTTTCGGAGAGGTTGCATTTAATTATGGTCCTAGAAACTTCATAAACAAAAGCAGGAGCAGAGCAAACAGCAGTAGTTCCTGCAAGACTGAAGGCTCAACCCTAAGCCTGCGAATTTCCCACCGGCCTCAGACACAGGACAGCTCTCCACTTTCTAAATTGTCAGAGGAGGACTGGGAAGAATAGACAAGGCCCCGTTTCTGAAACAACAAAATTGAACAACAGCTTAGAGACAGCTTCCTATGGTTATAGTCAATCTCTTCAGTCTAAAATTGAAAAATCTGCTCATTTGAAGATGAAGAAAGTCATCTGAACCAGATTAAAGAGAAGGGGGGGGGGAAGGAAAAAAAATCTTTCTCACCTTAAAAAATAAACCAAAACAATCCCCTTATCTATTCTACCTGGACCAACATGGCTCAAGCCATTTACTTTGTATTTCCAAATCTGAACAACTCCTCCTTATTTTGAGTTCAGAATCAAAAGATAATATGTAACCAAACACCTAACTGAATAATGCTATTTGGTTAATAAGAGAATGTCTAGAAAGACATTAAAAAAGTAATGAAAACTTCCTGAACTCACAATTTCCTTCCCATGTGCACAGCTTACCTATATAGCAGTATTTTTCAAGGGGGGGGGGAAGGGAAGTTCCTTGCACTTGCAAAATCTATTTGTCTTTATATGATGCACTCCAAGACAAATTAAAACATGTACTAGCCATCTTTAAAATAACATAACTCTTGTTTGAAAGCATGAAATTCCCACCTCTGTGATTCAGATGCAATTTAGAACAGCCAAAAGCAAACATTTCTCCCTCCTCCCAATTTAACAACATCCTAAGTAAATGCTAAGGGGGGAGGAGCTAGATGCTTTTTGCAGCTTAAACCACAGAAATTCCTATCACACAGGCACTAAATAAACTATTGTAACTGTGACATTTTCTTTTAACATATACCGTAACTCAAAAAATATACCATAAAGGAGGGGGGGAGGGGGGGGAGTATTTCAGCAGAGTATTCATCTCTCCCAAAAAAGCAGCTATAGGAACTTTGTATACAATACGACTATGATGGATGTCACTAAAAGTCATCATTCATTCAAGCTCGACCATACCTGGGAAGAAACCCCACTCCAAATTATTATTATTATTATTATTAATAATAATAAATAACAACAACAATAATAATAATTTGAAAAGTCTTGTTTGAGCTATTTATTGCAGAAAATTAATGAATCGCCACATTAACAAAAAATACTTAAGTACTACTAAACAATAGTACTGCTTAGGTTAGCCCCCCCCCAGGAGCTGCGGAACTCCTTTGACTGAGAAACTATGGAAGGAATCAAGCTTTTCTTAGCAGAATCCTCAGTTTCAAATGTCTTACGGTTCTTCCTTATGCTACAACCTCCAGATAGTTAAGTCAGTACGCCTGTACCCTTCTGTTTCCTTCCCCAATACCACACTCAGAAAGAGATCCAGAGACACTTGCCTTCCAAACTACCAACATCCGTTCTCATCTCCCTTCGTGCAAGCCAGCAGGCTTCTGCTCAGAAAAGCAGAATTCCACAATCCCCGCCCCAAAACACGTTATTTTTCTTTTTCCCCACGGGAGATCTCAGCCACCAAAGGCCTCTCGGAACCCCCCTACTCCCGTCTATCGACACTCCCTGGAAAACACGCCAGGGCGAACACATCCTCTCCCCCCTTGCGCCGAAACCCAAACACAAGGCCTCTCTCCTCCCAGCGGCCCAAACAACAGCGCAAGCCCTCTCGCACAGCCTTGCTATGGCGGGATCCCCCTCCCTCCCGGCCACTCGGTTCCTCCTCCTCGTCTTAAGGCTCAGCGAGGTTCCCGCGCAACGGCCCAGGCCTAGCCCGCCCCGCGGCCGCCATGCAGGAGCCCGCAGCCGCAGGCTCCGCACGAAGGGCCCGGCCCGCACCCCCGACAAAGCCCGGGGAACCCCTCCATGGCCGGCACCTCATCCCTTCCCCCCCGCTGCTGTCCCCGGGCCGGGAGAAGCTGCAGGCCCGCACCCGCGGCCCGTGTCGCTACGACAAAACCCCGGCCCTGCGAGGGGGATGGGAAAGAGGGAGGGAGGGAGGGGAGAGGCGGCTCCGCTTCACTCACGCTCTCATGGTCCCACCGCACGTTGCTGCGCTTCTCATCCGGGGCCAGGTTTCTGTCCCGGCCCATAAGCTCATCTAGGAGCTGGGCGGCCGATATCATCGTGTCCT